TGGGCGATATGGGCAAAAATTCATATCTCGGTATTTTTTGGCAGATTTGTGATATACGGTATATATCTCGGTATTTTCATTTTTGTATTTGTATTTTTTTTTTTTTATCTGTATTTAATATATATATATTTCACTTATCGCCCAATGTTGTCCAACAAAACAATATATATTAAAGGCTATGAAAACGAATAAAGTGAATGTAACCATGTAAGCCTTTATATTATGTGAAAAAAAGGGTTAAATTCACGTTTCAAGCATCTGACGGGGCGAGCCGCTTAAACTAATATGCGAATTGAAACTATAAACTATGTCTTACCGGTTTTTAAAGGCCTTAATATGAAGCTTGTCAGAATTATTGCGCTCCTATTTAATTGAGCTGTCAGTTTGGCGCATATGAGCGCGGCGGCGCTCGTTCACTGAAGTCTGTGAAGTTTAGTGGAGAATACCAAAGCAGAAGGCTCATGCACTTCTGACAGAAAAAAATTGAAATATTTCCATGGTTTTCTAACATTTACAGATGGAGAATACACCTGTGAAATGTAAGTTATGCATTCAGGAAGACAGCACATCTCGAACAAATTGGATTATGCACTTTCTCCACAGCAGCTCAGTCTGTGTCCTCCGCTTTATTTTCAGATGCGCTGGTATCAAACTACTGTATATCGATATAAATGGTATTGCCTGATATCGAATCGCTTATAAAGAAAATATCAATATATCGTACAAACTCGATATACCGCCCAGCCATATCTATACCTTCTTCTTTCTATGGAAGTCTGACTAGTCAGAATTAGGAGATCATTTCTCCAGCATTTGCATTCCAATCATCCACTTTATTCAACACCTTATTTCTGGGGTGTCGGCTCCACTTCTCAATTGAATGATTTAGAGATACGTTCCTCAGTTTCCATTATTCTTTTTGTAACCTCAGTGACCCCAGAGTGAACCTCAATAATCTTAACACTAGTTCACTTTTCCAGTGGTTTAAATGCATTCGCCATTACTAGGATATTTATCAGCAGGCTCACGTGCCTCCATCTTCCTCCCATATCTTGTGCTGCTCTCTGGGTCTGAGGGCACATTTTGCATTTCATTATCCAATTTCCCATGACTTTTAATTATTTTAGACTGCAGTATCGCATTGTCTATTATACCGATCTGTTCAGTTTTAAATTATACTTGTGAGTGGGCTTTGTTAAAGATTAATTCACACTCAATGCAGGGGAGACAAAAAAAGTCACAACTTTAAGCCAATGCCGTAATCAGAGAAGCAGCACTCACTTAATTTCAAATTATTTTAATTTTACATGTGATTTCATTTATATTATTATGTAACATTCATTTGGGAAACCCTGACATAAAGTATAAGCAAGGACCAAATGACATCTCACTCCTCCCAAAGAACATCTGGTGGTCAAACAATCTCTTCTGCAATGAAATGTGTTTTGCATTAGTGAAAACATTTACACTTGGTTTACTACTAATAATAATAATGATTATTATTGTTATTATTATAATTTTTTTTTATGACAAACAGCACAAATGATTTTTAATCACATTACATATATGACATGACTGTTACTGTCAGAAACTCAGAAGCAAAGACCAGGAGGCTCTGTGTATCTATAGCAGGATTCTTTATTAAGAATGTGCTGTTGATTGCTGCAGTCATCAGGTCTAACCAGGGATCTGCACATTGTAGTTTTATATACATTTAAAGGACAGTGCTTAGAGATAGAGACAAAGCAACTGGGAGACGACCTTAAAGTGTGCAAATGAACTATGCAGGTATAAGAATTTGACCTGTCCAAATCCAATCAGCATAATTATTCAAAGAAAGGGACAGGGGCACCAAGAGTCATTAAAAACAAAAGGTGAGAGTCAGTAATCCAGCTCAATTGACTTACAATAAAGAGACCAGGAACTGTCAGAAACATCTTGCTACAAACTTTGTTTAACACAGTCATTCAGCTGATGTTATCATCTTTACCTTAAATGCTAAATACAATGTACTTCACCATTATTTTTCATATGCTATGTCGGGATGTAGAATCAGCAGATCCTATACAGATTCTTAAATTGCCAATCCTATCATGAAATTAAATTTCAAATATACAAGCGGCTACATTCTTTGAAGAAATTAACAATGCAGATCATTATTTGCGACATTGGAATAGATCGTTCACTTTTCATATGCTGCCTTATGGTATAAAGGATGAGACAGTTGGTCCAAAGGCACCCATAACACCACTAGTAATGGCATCACTAGTGCTAAATGAAAAAATGTCCATCAGTTCACCCACCACTCCTATGATCCGTCCACCTTCCAACCTGGAACTCAGCAGATGACCAAAACACAATTATCAAATTAAATATTAGATTCCTGAGGGAGGAAACCTTTAATCCATATCTTATGCACATCAGCCTCACCAAAGGCAAAAAAGCAGAAAATCCATTTGGTCCACATTCACTTGCGGTGTGAAAGTAGCTTTGATTTCACAGACATGCATGTTTTCTGGTGCCATTTTAAACTGCTGAGCCATTTAAAACTCTTTCTACAGAAAGAACAAGAATAGGGTCTCATATCTGCATGACTTTTCAGGTGTATCTGTAAGCGTGATGGCAAAATACATGTTTTATCACACTGATCACAATTACTTCGCCTTTCTCCAGAGTGAAAACGGAGATGATTTTTGAAATTGCTCCTCTTAGTAAACTTGTTGTCACACACTGAATGTTGTAGTTTCTTTTCAGAATGAGTTTGCAAATGACATTTCATCTCTCTAAGATACGTGAAACTCTTTTTACATTTAAGACACATGTAAGGCTTCTCTCCGGTGTGAAGCCTCATGTGAACCTCACGGTTTCCTTTGAGTGCGAAACGCTTTCCACACTGAGGGCAGGTGAAAGGCTTCTCTCCAGTGTGAACTCTTATGTGAACCTCAAGGTTTGTTTTGTTTTTGCAAGTCTTTCCACAGTGAAGGCACATGAAAGGCTTCGCTCCCAAATGAATCTTTACATGATTCTTGAGATGCTTCTTGTCTGTGAAATTCCTTCCACACTGATGACATACAAAACGGTTCTCTCTTGTGTGAATTCTCATGTGGTGACTAAGGGTTACTGTAAATCTGAAACACTTTCCACACTGAGCGCACACAAACGGCTTCTCTCCAGTGTGAATTCTCATGTGGGCATTAAGGGTTCCTTTATGTTTAAAACTTGTTCCACATTGAGAGCATGTGAAAGGCTTCTCTCCAGTATGAACTCTCAAATGGCTTTTAAGACTTGCTTTTCGAATGAAATTTTTTCCACACTCTTGGCAGGTAAAAGGGTTTTCTCCAGTGTGAATTCTCATGTGGACTTTAAGGCTTCCTTTCTGAGTGAAGCTTTTTCCACACTGTTGGCAGGAGAACGGGGTTTCTCTTGTGTGAACTCTCATGTGGACTGTCAGGTTTCCTTTTCTATTGAAACATTTTCCACACTGTTGGCAGGTGTAAGGGTTCTCTCCAGTGTGAACTCTCATATGGACTTTAACACTTGCTTTTTGACTGAAACTCTTTCCACACTGCTGGCATGTATAAGGCTTTTCTCCAGTGTGAACTCTCATGTGGACTGTAAGGTTTCTATTTTCATTAAAGATCTTTCCACACTGTTGGCAGGTGTAATTACCTTTAGTCGCTGTCTTTTTAGCTTTTTTTCTTGACAAAGTCTTTTCAGTCTCAGAGCAATTAAAAATGTTTTCTTCAGTCATGAAATCACGTTTCTCATCTTTATCTTCTTTTTCATTCAGCTCTTGATTCTCCTCTTTCAGCGCCATCAGGCCTAAGATGAAAATAAAAACTGCATCAAATAACCTGTTTAATGGCACAAAGCAACAGACATCAAAACAATTTGACATGTAAAGCTTCAAAAGCAACAAAATGTATGCTAGATCCTATTCACACTAAGCCACTCCCAGAACTTCTCCATATTGTGAACTCTTAGCTTTCTTTAGGACATGCCCTACGTACTTTCAAGCTAACAATTACCATAGCCATTATAAAAACAACAACAACAGAAGAACAGGCTGTATTCTCCAATAATTGTATCTTATTATAAGTTGCTTCTGAATTTCTGCATTAGGAGCATTTAGCCTTAAGATTTTTTGTGAATGCGCTATTGACCGATCTCAGAGCTACCATTTATATCCAAAACATTAGAAAAATAGTGTTTTCTCAACAAGAGAAATGGAGAATTGTGAAGAATTGTGAAGTATTCTTTCAACAACTCTTAGCTTTCTTTAGGACATGCCCTATGTACTTTCAAGCTAACAATTACCATAGCCATTATAAAAACAACAACAACAGAAGAACAGGCTGTGTTCTCCAATAATTGTATCTTATTATGATAAGTTGCTTCTGAATTTCTGCATTAGGAGCATTTAGCCTTAAGATTTTTTGTGAATGCGCTATTGACCGATCTCAGAGCTACCATTTATATCCAAAACATTAGAAAAATAGTGTTTTCTCAACAAGAGAAATGGAGAATTGTGAAGAATTGTGAAGTATTCTTTCAACAACATAGACTATGACATTCTCTTGGATAGCTTGAGAATTATTTTGCCATTGGTGGACAAGCATTAGCACATTCAGGTCCTAGCTATCCAACCATTACATCTGTTTGTGTGAAGAGACACCCCATCAGACACAACTATAGAGTGCCACAGGGCTCGGTATCAGGTCCTTTGTTTTTCTTTTTGTAAATGTTTACTATTATACTGAGAGATACTGTTGTAGGGGCTTTGATTTTTGAGCCCCAATATCCTGCAGAATCAGCACATTCCAGAAGAATCTAAAGATTCCCCATCCCAAACCATCTGAGGTCATAAAATTAATCAACGACCAACAATGATGCCTCCTTGTCTGGAGAACACTCTGCGTTATCTTCTTAAGAGATAAATAAACCAGTGATAGACCTAACTCCATCAACAGGAGAGAGAACTCCCTCCATCTGGAACGACTTAAAGGGTTAGTTCACCCAAAAATGAAAATTAGCCCATAAATTACTCACCCTCAAGTCATCCTAGATGTATATGACTTTCTTCTTTCAGACGAATCCAGTCGGAGTTATATTAAAAATGGTCTTTGATCTTTCAAGCTGTTTAATGCCACTCAGCGGGTGTTGCATGCATCAGTCCAAAAGAAGTGAAATAAAAAGAGCCCATCCATAAAAAAAAGTGTCTCACATGGCTCGACTGATGCATGCAACACCCGCCGAGTGGCAAACAGCTTGAAAGATCAAAGACCATTTTTAATATAACTCAGACTGGATTCGTCTGAAAGAAGAAAGTCATATACACCTAGGATGACTTGAGGGTGAGTAATTTATGGGCTAATTTTCATTTTTGGGTTAACTAACCCTTTAAACCACCAAAGGGGTGATTGTCACCCATGATCAATTTGCATAAATCCATGTAAAGACACAGGAAAAGGGTAAATTACGGGACACTCTCCAGGCCTACAACACAAAGGATCTAAGAAACCGTGATAACGTTTAACTCAAGCAACAGATGGCCCGTGGTACCCCATGACCATTTACGCATAAATTGATAAGCGAATAAACAAGGAAAAGACAGACTTACACCTTACTCTGAGCCGGGAGGCTCACAGGATCTCCACAGCGTGACACTTTCTTGACCTCAGGACATGTGCCCCCTCCTTCTCTACACATTCCCAACATGCAGTCTTTATCTCCAACAAAAGAACACATGAACTCTGATGATTTTTAAAAGACAATCAGTTATTACCGTTGCTACTAGAGTAAATATATTCACGAATAATGTGTTTTATGTCTTTTATATGCTTGATGTGTTTATTGTAACCTATGAAGTTAATCTATGTTTTATAACCCCTTTTAAGTAGATAAAGTTATTAATGTGCATGCAAGATACCTGACATTTGATGTTGAATGAAAGCTTGTTTTATTTCCAGAATGTTGAATGAATGAATGAATGAATGAATGAATGATGCATTTATATAGCGCTTTATTGTGTATTGTTGTACACCCAAAGTTGGTATTATATACACTGTTCGTAGTAGGACACTTTATTGAAGTTATCTCACAAGGATGTTCCCCACATGACAGACCGAGCATTAGGTTAATTTATGCACGAAGAGGAACGGTACGGGGCGTGGCCCCGCCCTGCATCAATGTCTGATTGGAACAGCGCGTTGTGGGACGGACGTATGCAGCTTGCTCAAAACCCAATTTCCGAACAGATTCAGTGCCTTTCGCCTTCGTTTGATCGCGCTCTCACTTGCGCTCACTCGCTGCACCATCACGCGATTGTGCCATCCAGAACTCTACAGAACCAGCTGAAGCTTCGTGACTCTGCCGAAATCTTCAAAGTCTCAGCCGCTCAACGCAGACTCTCAGAACAACTTAGAGCGCATCACTCTCCGTAACTAAGGCAACCGACTTCCGAAGCTCCTACGTAACCAGGCAACCCTTCATTCATTGTCAAGTGAATCCCAAGACGTCATGCAAAGAACGATCGCCAACCAATCAGAAGCGCCGTGATTCCCTGAGACAAGCCCACGAGGAAAACCCTGTTTTCAACCAAAACACAAGTAAACAAGGTCTCTCCTCTCTCTTGATTTTGAATCTTTGGATTCGATTCCCTTTGAACTGAACTAATTTCCTTACACTGTCATTAGTTTCCACTGTTACGACAATGATATCCAGTTTTATATTTCCCCACAACCTGACCAAAACTGCAAGGTTATTAGTTCATAAGTTGTTATTAGGTTTCATATTACAAAAAAACTAATTATTTAAAACTACTTCCATATGAATATGTCAATTTAATCTGAGACATGTAATAACGAATGCCCAACTTGGAAGTAGGAGCTTCTCAGCTATACTTAAAGGTAGTATTAGCATTTTAGTGGCTGGGCATGTGATCTCAACATGTCTGACCACATGAAGCGGTCGGTGCGAATGCAACCCTTTAAATGGTACTGGGAAATAGTTCACGCAAAATCATCCCAGTACTTTAGTACTGTACATTTAGTTCTGGAACTAAAGCGGTGCGAAAGGCCCTAACAAAGCTCAACTTGAACTTGTCAAAGGAGGGGGCTTTGTTGAAAACGACGTGTTTGAGAGAGGCGGGGCATAGAGGACCTACAATAATGTACAGTATTTGAAAAATAATGTGTTTTTTTAACATTAAAGCATGTCAACATATTCTGTTACACCAAATACACAAAATAATGATCTTTAAAATAGCATCATATGACTGACCCCTTTAAGCGTACGCACACTCTATAAATGAGGCCCCATATCAAATAAGAACACTTTAAATTTTGGCCACTTGTGTGACCTTCTTCAACAATATTCATTTCTGTAAATGTCAACATTTAAAAAAGGATCAAATGACTGAGTTCAGCTTTGAGAATTAAAACCAACCTGTTAGTTCCTCAGGATCTTCTTGTTTGACTCTGAACGCTTCTTCAATCGTCACGTCTTCACTCTCCTCTTTAATAAACGCCATCTTTATAACATTAACGTGGATATCTGTTGCTTCACCAGGCGTTCTTCTGCCTCTCTGGGCACTGTCATGTTTGGAGAGAGAATAATGAACAGAAAGAAAAACTTTAATGAGAACATTTGCCAACTTGAAACGTTGTCATGGTATGTTAGTGTTCTCATTGCGTTATTTACACGGGTTTGAACAGCTGGTGTCGCTTGCGACTCAATCATTTTGTAAATTAACTGGTTCTGAGTTCCTAAAAGCTCCGTTTCTCTCATTCCTGATTGTAAGAGACTGAATTCGTGTTTACGATACATCGATTTACGATATAAGGATCGAAATGAGACGCACTTTACTCACAAACATAACGTTCATTGATGTTAGATAAAGCATTACAATGTTATATTTAATAATACATAATTCGTTCTACAGTTCTTGTAAAACTATAAACTCATCTGAAAGAGTTGCGCTAATTTAAACACTGTTTAATGGTTAAAACTCAAACCTTTCTTCAGCCGAATCACAACAGTTGCAGGAGCCTGGCGCAGCCTTGTGGCGTCATATGGCCTGATCAAAATAAAAGTCCTCCTTCTTCTTCTTCTGATGTTTTTTTTTTTTTTTTGGCGGTTAACACAGTCCTCTTCTTCTGCTCCTCCTCCTCCTTTTATTTTACTGGCTAACAACCTACTGTTACAAGTCCTGTTCACACACAGAAATCACAAAAGTGCATAGAAACGTAGGCCTACATAAAAGGACATAAATTAAATAATGTCAAGAGGTATTCAGAGTTGAATTCTTTGATGAAATGCATATTTAAACACGCTGTTCAGTGCTGTGCTGAAAATAATACCGATATGAAATGTTTATTTCACATCCAATATCTGAAATTCATGTAAGGTTTAGGTGCAGAACCATTTATACCAAGAGTTAGGAATATATGAGAGATTTCCATATGTCCACTTGATTGGACAGTAGGCTGTGTGTTTTTGTTTTTAATTAAACAGATGCTGTTTTAATCATAATACAGTAACAACACAGTAATACTGTGTGTATTTAACAAACCATTGAATAAAATGATAAATCACGTGGGAAATAATTTAGCTTCAAATAGTGCAAACACTTTAGATGAATACTTTCTATTTCACTCTCCTGTAGATTCAAAAGTCAGCTGATCCTTCTTTTTCTGCCAGCCATTCCTCATCACTAACACTAGCACCATCCTCTCTGATATTATTTCATCCACCATCCTGTAGGCCTTACTATCATGCTTTGCTCTTGAACTCTACATATATACAAAAAATAAAAAATACAAAAAACCCCTGCAAATTCTAGTAATAACACAAATGCATTTATGTAAATGCATTTTCAAGAAGAACAACAGCCACAGCAATCGTATAAATTGTAGTTGAAATATACACTGTAAGAAACTGACTGTGAAATTCACAGTAATTAACTGGCAGCTAGTGACAAGTAACTTACTGTAGAAGAAATAACCATATTTTCGCTGTTTTCATTTACAGTAGCAACCATGTAACCAGGGTGCGAACTACGGGGGAGCTAGGGGGAGCTCGGCTCCCCTTAATAAGACATGGGCTCCCCTGAAAACGGGATTTGTGAAATTTTGGGGGGTCTCAAAAAATATTGACAATGTGTTATTTTGACGTGCAGTTTCAGTTTTGTGTAATGTGATATTAGAATGAAGCTTTTGTTTGGAAAAAAAACTAAATAAATGTTACTCCTTTTGATCGTCTTTGTTTCTGGAAAATTCCACTGCCAAATGTGCTGCGCGGCAGTTTCCCCGCTGTTAGACCAAACTAGGTAATTATCTGTTAACTTTAACATTAGCTTTTCTTAGTGCTAACAGCGTTCTCTCTTTCCATGCTATTCTCTCCACGGCCTTTTTCTGCGGTGACCACTGGGGAATAAAGTTGTAAGGTAAGCTGTGGCCTTCACGTAGGAATTTTATTTTATATTATCAACCAGATAAATTATAGTGTCGTGGATTAGGGCAAAGGTAGCCCTAATTAGTAACGTTAGCTGGGCTTCTTCGTAATTTTCTCCGATGCTGTGTGTGTGATACGGAGCAGCCATTGTCTGCCGCGTCAACTGAAAAATGAAGTGTGCATGTCAATATTGCTCAGTTTTGTACAGTTACATGTGACACCTTAAGCTACCTCATCAAGCATTTGAAGTCACACATACAGGAAGGTTTAGAAATCAAATGCCTAGTGAGAGGTTGTGATTGCAGCTTTACAGTTGCATTCACTTTAGCCTCGCATTTTTCAAGGAAAAATAAAGATCTAGATCACACCTTGTTAGGTGTGTCCGATCCTGCTGAGCCTAGTAGTCTTCGTAGTATGTTCTGATGCTTCTGTTGTGGATGGTAATGAGCCAGAGGGGTGATTTGTTGTACATGAAACTCTCTATTTACAATATCTTGCCCTTCTGTATCTTAAAGGGGTCATATGATGCGATTTCAATTTTTCCTTTCTCTTTGGAGTGTTACAAGCTCTTGGTACATAAAGAAGATCTGTAAAGTTGCAAAGACTAAAGTCTCAAATCCAAAGAGATATTCTTTATAAAAGTTAAGAGTCAACCACGCCTACCTAAAACGGCTCGTTCTAACACGCCCCCACATATCTACCTCACTATGTGGGAAGATTTGCATAACGCCGCCCAAATGTTCACGCAAAGAAAGAAGGCGTAACTTTTATTCTCGCTGTAGTATTGTTGCTGCCGCTGCCGCCATGTTGTGAATGCGCTGTGTGATTCGTTGTGTAAGCGAAACTACTTTGTTTGGTCTTCCAAAAGAGGACGATATCCGCTTCGTCATGCCTGGAGCTGATCCGTGCTGGTCGCTGAGGGAATACTACAACTTTGCGCTGTGGATCGCCGGATCGGCTTTCACCGTGTACGAAGCGGAGTCCAGCCCGGGGTCGTCACATGTGGTTGCCACAAGCCCCGCCTCCACCTCGGTCGCCTGAGCCTTCAGTTCCGCCTTGGCCCTCCGGATCCTCTGTGTCACCCTGGCTCTGCAGCTGCTTGTCTCCGACCTGGGCTCCTACTCCACCGGCGTCATCTCCGTCAGTCGGCCCCCTGGTGTCGCCTGCTTGAACTCCACCATGGCTCCTCCCTCCAGCGACTCCACCGAGGGCCACTTTCCTGGCTGGCCTCTGGTTCCCCACCTGGCTCCTCCTGCTCCGGGCTCCTCCCTGGCTCCTTCCTCCATCTACTGGT